AGGCAGAGGTTGGAGGCAGCGGGGGAGCTCCCGGAGCAGCAGCAGGAGAGGCAGAGATCGGAGGCAGCAGGAGCACTCCCGGGTCAGCCACCCAGCGCGCCAGCCAAGGCCCCAGAGATCCCTGAGATATGGAAGGACTTCTGGGAGCAGAGAGGAGAGGAGCTTCCATCGCCAGTCAGAGCCGGGTTTGGGTTGGCCAGGAAGGCGAAAGAAAGGTTAGATCGTAAAATCAAGTTCCTGGCCAAGACCACTTTTGACCGGCACTTGTTATTGGAGGGTGATCTGGCGGGGAAGAAAATGAAGGAAGTCAGTCATGGAGTACGTCTGGAGGCTATGGAGATGGAAATTCAGGAACTTAGGGCTTTGGTGGCCAGCCAGGCAGCTATCATTGAGAGCCTGAGGCAGCAAACCCAGGGAAAGGTGGACAGACCAGAGAGCAGCCGGCAGGGAGAGCAGAGACAGCCAGGACAGGGATTGCCAGGACAGCCATCTGCGACAGAGCCTCGCAAGGAGCCACCTGTGGGGAGGGTTATCCTGGAGTCAGAGGAGGCGAGAGCACAGAGACAGGCGGAGAGAGAGGCGTTCGAGTTCAGAGCCCCTACTGAGCTCGCGACACTGCCAGTAGCAGCGGCGGGCCCAGTCGTACCTTTGGCAGTAGAGGAGGGGCTGCCACCATCTAGCAGTGAGCCGACTCAGGGCTCAGTAGAGGAATCCATGGGCGTGCTCCTTGAGGCGGTGCATACTATGCAGGAGGAGGTGAGTTTGTTTTCACCTTAGCAGAGGATAGAGGAGCCTCTTGAGAGAGAGATGGGGATTGAGGAGGAGGGTGCCATCGAGGGCAGACTCCAGAGGATAGGCACACCTGAGTATGGACCAGAGGAGATTGAGGAGCAGCCTACGGCAGTGCCAGGGGCGATAATCGAGAGGAGGCCTCAGAGGTTGGACACGCCCGAGTATGTCCCAGCGACAGAGGATTTGAGAGGCAGACTAGGATCTTGGGCTACTGGATCTGGGTCTGGTGGACCGGTTCCGTGGACAGAGCAGCAGGAAGTCGTTAGTACCGCAGCTCCTCGATCAGAGCAGCAGGGGGGTGTCGGTAACTTGGTGGGATCTCCTTCATCGCCACCTCCTCAGCCCAGGAAGAAGAAGTTCAAGAGAAAGGTAGATCAACTATGTTTTTACTGCAAGAGGGACGTGCATATGGCTTTGGACTGTCTCGAGTTTCTTGAGGATAAGGCAGCCGGGAAGATCTGAGAGGTAGGGGGTAAAATGTATCATAGATAGGGTAGGATAGTAGAGAAGTCCGCAGATAGACTTAGGGCTCAGTTATATAGGCAAATCCAGGAGGAGTTGAGGAGGTAGGGTCGGTTTTGTCTATATAAGTGAGCGAGCATTTTGTGAGGCACAACTTAGGTTCTGTGTGATACCCTCTTAGACTTAGAAGACATTTTGATGATTGCTGTTAATCTAGATCTGAACTCTAGTGTTTCTACTCAGTTGGGGTTTTAAGGGTCAGGGTGGTTTAGATGAGGAATGTACATATTTAGGTGGCCTACGCCCTAGCCTTTGAGAGACAGATCTGACATGTATTCTAGGGGTAGTTGTCAGTGTGGGTTTGGTGTGGCTTGAGTTGAGCAAGCTATGATTTGGAGATACTTTCTGTGTGAGACATTGTACTCCCTGAGTGTATATTATTATGAGGTTTCCTTCAGGGACCATTCTTATATGTGACGATCACTTGTCTCTCTCATATGTGTGGTAGTACTCTGATGTATGATGAGTTTGTATGGACAATGTGTGAAAAACCTTTTATGTATCTTGTGTATTGTGAATATGATTGTAAGTAAAACTGTCTACTCCCAGTATACTTGTGCGACCTGCCCACGACAGATGATAAGGCAGAGTATAAGGGATGGAAGCGCAGTCCGTCTGTGAAAGTTATCCAAGTTGTGATGAGGACCCATAAGATGATCTCTCAATGATGTTCTGTTTTATGATGGGACCCCCTTAGATTTTGGAAAAGGGGGGGGATGTTTTATGATGTTTTGTGATGTAACGAAACCCCTCGTGACTTTGAGAGAGGGGGTGTTTGGTTTATGATGAGACCCTCGTGATTTCTGGAAGAGGGAATGTATTGTTCAATGGCGAGACCCCTCGCGACTTTGGAACAGGGGGTGTTTTGTTTATGAAGAGATCCCCTTTTGGATTGTTGAAAAAGGGGAGTTGTTTTTTGTTGGAAGACTCATCCTCAGAAGTGAGTAAATTGATTTATGGCATGACGAATTGTTTGATGGGTGATAAAGTCTGACGGAAAGGGCCACTTTTTGTTTGAAATGTTTRAGAAAGTCGCAATGAGTATAGGGCGAGAGATGTCTCAGGGTGGGYGGYTGCTGGCTMTGATCAAGTCAGGGRTCACGGCCTGGTGRATTTAGCGGTGATTTTGCTTGTAAGCGTGCGAACGATGCCATGCCTATTGAAGGAGGGCTGGTAAATGCTTTCGGACCCCWKCGTATCGCGCAGTGGGYCTGTGATTTTGTTTTGCGAYGCCCSKYTWAMCMMC